AGGACCCTATACTCCAGACTATGTGACATGAATGTTCTGCTTTGCTGACAAAGGATAGTGACTTTATCACTGTGAACAGTGTTGGTTACCTGCCCAAGGCTTAGCCAAGGCTCTAGGAACCCCTTCCAAGACTGATGGCAGAAAGGAAAAGACACATGATGAGACTACCCAGGGACAAGCTCACAGTATAATAAGAGCTACTAACAGGGAAATGAGGGCTTATCTTGAAAATGAAAAAGAGACAACCAAAGATAGATGTGAAATCTCCATAAGAAATAACCCCTTTGAGACCATTACTTTAGCCCCCCAAAACTCATTTTGAACACTTTAATTTTTTACTATTTTGAAGTAATAAAATGCTACCATTTTTAAATGTGACATTATTAGTGGCATATTATAGATCTCATGGACACTCACAAAATTGAGACAACTATATATCAAAAACAGAAATTAGGCCATTTTAAATACAAAATATTCTCATATTTGATGTAGAAAAAGTATATAATGACATCACTTTGAGGAACCCAGGATAGGTTTATATTGAGGAGCCCACTCACGAAGAAAAGCTAATTTGATAAACTATCAATTAATTAAAAAATAGTAATATACCCATAATAGGTGCATAAAATTATAAAACAAACACTGATACAGAATAACCTATATATGATTAAATATATAATAAGAACTATAAGAACAAGTTTATTTGAAGAAAATTGTTAAAAAATGCACACAATTGGCAAGCTATGCACTTATTTCACATGAGTACATATGAGGGTGTATAAATTTAAAATAATACCGAAAGTGATACTGAGTGATATTATGGGGAAAAGAAACACATATGTAAGGAAATTTCACAAAACATGAAATAAGTGTGTAATTTGTTAGTAACTCATGAGCAATAACTAAAATAATTTGGACCTTGTTTGTGTCAGATAATATTACATTTATTAGCATGCTCAGCTTAGCAACGTTGAACCTCAGTATTATACTGGATAAGTTAATTTCCTCAGTGGTGTAGTCTATGAAACTCAGCCCAGCTGGTCACAGAAAATCACATTAAGGTAACAAGGTTCTGTTTGGGAGGAACAGAGTTTAGACTGGAAGGGAGAGGAGACATCAAACAAGACAAACAGGTGGGGTTTTTTGTTTGTTTATCTGTTTTGTTTTTATTTGTTTTTAACCACTGTAGATGGCAATGCAACCTGGGAGAATGGAGCCTATAAATAAGGCAGATTAGTGTCCCATGCCCTGGCTGACTTTATTCAAGGCATTAGACAATTTATACTCTGAGAGTTAAGAAGAGTCATATGCATAAAGTGTATAATTACAAGGGCAATTCTCACTGATTCAAAAACCCTCATTTGGCAACTCATGAAATTCAACTTCAGCCTTAGGAGATCTACCATGGGTACCTGCCCACACTTGTCATATACACACACAAACACACAAATAAAACCAAAATATTTGCAATTTTTCACATATTTTCTTTCACTGAAGAAAGCCCCTTATCTTTTCTCTTAGAAGGGTTTTGGCAGCTGATAGGTACTGGAGGAGGGAGAACTAATTTGCTTCTAAGGTAACTGCCTGTATACTGGCCATGCTAAATTGGATAGGCATACACTCATGCAGATAGGAGCAGTACTAATTGGACTCAATGGGTTATATAAACAAAGAAGATAGGAAGTGTGGAAAGGAAAAGTGCAGGAAAGTATAAGAATAGTGGGAGCATGCACCCCAGTAAATTTATAAGCAAACTGTATTGTTATTAGAGAATAAATTTTAAAACAATATTACAGAAAAAACAATGGCTGCTAAAATTTAATCTAAAGTTATTTTTATTCTTTATATGAAATTAATTTGTGAGAAATAAATAAGATAAACAATTTTAATACTAATACTAGAGATGGATAGAATGAAAAGAGGAAGAAAATTTGTAACTACCTTGAACTGTACACACAGTTAAATTTTTATTACACTCATATTATTCTGATAGCTATTGAAGAGGTTTGTATGCCCAGCCACTGGAGATAATCATAAATATTCAATACGGTACAAATTTTTACATAATGAGCACAAATAACCTTTCAAAGAGGAAATCACAATCGAGGCAACTCTAATCCAGTCTGCATTGTTGCATAAAGAATGCTAAGCAGTAGGATGTGAGGGAAGGCTGGGAGAGAACCAGAAAGAAATTATTTTGAGATGTTTTTCAAAAACATTTTAATCATTTGCTCTTCAGATAAAAGTAATTATAAGTTATAATTCCTAATTAGCTGAGAGTGTGTTCTCATTAATAAAGTTCTGGAATGAATGTGGGGACTAAGAAATGTAACTTCTGTCTTTGCAAGTAAAAATGCAATGCTTTTGTATTTTAGAATTATTGTATACTTCTGAAGTTACAAAAGCATTTAAAAAACAGATTGCAAATTTTAAGCAATTTTAAACATTAATTTCTCATTTGTATAAAATATGAATATTTAATCAATTACTTGATTTTCATAATGGGAATCCAGCAATAACACTTCCTATTCAAGATGTCTAGGTACATAGGTATGACAATGTGGTAGAAACAGCCTGAAAAGTGTTTGAAAAATGGGAAAAGACATTACCTGACTGTATGAAATACTTAATAGAATTTTGTTTATTACCTGAACTCACACTAATAATGAGCCTTTTACACCTGAACAGAGAATGGGAGGAGTTTGGATTTTCTCTCTCCAATAAATCTCATTTCTCCTTACATGATTTTATGTCAATTGAAAGGTGAATTCTATTACAGTTGAAGAGTGATCCCCTGGGGTTTTAAAACAGTCCTGAGCCCTGTCTGTCATGAAAGGCAATCAGAAAGCTTGGTGCTCTGCCTTCATTGCATTCATATTCTTGTCAAGCATGTTTTAAGGAACTAGGCATCACCAGCACTTATCTCACTCATTTGATAAGCAGAATGGGATACAGACATATTTTATTTCATTTTGTAGATTTAATACAATGCGTAAGAACTTCAGAGTACAAGCATCTATTTTTAATCAACAAAATAATAGCAATTTTGAGAGAACACAAATTAAACTCAGTTTCACATGTAATAAAAATTCAGAACTGTTGCTTTTATGTTAGTATCTTACAAATGTTAAAGAGTATAGCTAACATTTGGCATAAACTTTGCCTTCTAGTATTATTGCCTTGCAATACAACTTTCTTTCTTTCTTTTTTTTTTTTTTGATCACAAGTATTTTTGTTCTTTATTTAGTAATGCAATGTGTCATTTTTAATATTGTTCTATTATTGTATAGACATTCATTTTTTATTTAATTTTATATAACAAAGTCCAATTAAATGAAAACAAACATTTATACACAATATTTTGGAATTTGGGCATCGTTCTTTCCAAACTACTTCCTGCTGGTAAGGGGCGCTGTCTTGGGGGATTCGAAGAAGATTCAGATATCCTAGCTGTAGTCTGCAGGGCTGTTTTGTCCAGCTGTTTGGAATGTAGGATCAGCTTGTACTCTGTTTCAGGCCGTCTGGCGTGATCAAACCACATTAGTCTGGAAGGAATCCACATCTTTTCATTTTCTGTGGAAACAAAAATAGAAATACTTTTCCCCAGTAACTTGTTCTTCAACTTAAATTTTGGAGTCAAAGCGTTTTTTTTTTTTTTTTTTCTTTTAATTTATTATTTTACATGTCAATCCCAGTTCCCTCTCCCTCCCTCCCTCCCTCCCTCCCTCCCCTACAGCCCTCCCTCCCTCCTTCCCTCCCTTTTGCCCTCTCTGCCCTCTCACATGCACTCTAAACACCCTCCCCTCCCAACCCCCCACCACAATACCATATGTAGGGGAATGCCATCCAGTTGGGGTCATGTAGATCTGACAGGTCCTATGAAGTAGGGACTAGGGCTTCTCTCCTATCTCTAGAATAAGGCAGTTATCCCTCCATGGGGGATATGTTTGCAAAGTCCTTTTGTGCACCAGGGATACATCCTGGCTCCACTGTCTGAGGTCTCTTAGACTGCTCAGACCTTCTGGCTGAGACGCATATTCAGGGGGGGGTCCGAGTCAGTCCCCTGTTGGCTTCCCAGCTATCAGTCTAGTGGCCCTTAGCTCCTCCTTGTTCAGGTAAGCTGTCTCTATGTACTTCTACCGCATGGTCTTGTCCTCTCCATCTGCTTCTGGGTTCTAGTTCGACTCAGTGTTTATGTATGGGTGTTTGCTCCTGTTTTCAACAGGCATTAGTTGAGGACTCCATGGAGAAGTTAGTTGTTGATCTCACTCTCCGGGAAGGGCATTTATGATAGCCTTTCCACGGGAGCTGAGATTGTTAGTTGGGAGCAGTCTTGTAGTTCCCTTGACCTTTCTTTGTGTTCAACTTTATCTTCAAACCAATATTGGCTCCCTCTTTTATGTTCTCTCTCTCTCTGTCTCTGTCTCTGTCTCTCTCTCTCTCTCTCTTTCCTATTTTCCATTCCTAACCAGGCTCAATCCTCCTGGTCGCACATGCCTTCCTCTCCTCCCTCTCATTTTCTCCTACTTCTCTCTCCATTAGCTGTCCTCCCCCACTTTACCTGAGGTCTGGGGGACTTGTCCCTTCCCAGGACTGTGAGGGACTTTATATGAATCTCTTAGAATACAACTTGTATCCTAGTTCCTCTGGTGATGTGAATTATAGGCTGGTGATCATTTGATCTAGTTCTAAAATCCATATATGAGTGAGTACATACTGTGTTCCTCTTTTTGTGACTGGGTTACCTCATTCAGGATGGTTTCTTCAAGTGCCATCCACTTGCCTGCGAATTTCAAGATACCATTATTTTTTTCTGCAGAGTAGTATTCCATTGTGTAGATGTGCCACATCTTCATTAACCATTCTTCAATTGAGGGGCATCTAGGTTGCTTCCAGGTTCTTGCTATTACAAATAGTGCTGCTATGAACATAGTTGAACAGATGGCTTTGTTGCATTGATGTGAATCCTTTGGGTATATGCCTTTTTTTTTTTTAACAGACTTAATTCACTTTATTTTTCTTGTATAAAACCCCTTATGTGGTGGCAACAGCTGGAGCCTGGGTCCTCTGAACAGAGACTCTGATATGGGCTTTCACAAGATGGTCAGTGAATTCCTGATAAGGAGACTTGGTGAACACAGTCTCTTTCCAGAGGTCAGGGGTCAGGTAGCTGTAGGTCTTAGAGATGGCATCAAAGGTGGCCTTGGCAAAGTTGCCCAGGGTGGCAGTGCAGCCCCTGGCTGATGTGTAGCAGTCATCAATACCGGCCATCATCAGTAGCTTCTTGGGCACAGGAGCAGAGACGATGCCAGTGCCTCTGGGGGCAGGGATGAATCGCATCAACACAGAGCCACAGCGGCCTGTCACTTTGCATGGAACAGTGTGGGGCTTGCCAATCTTGTTCCCCCAGTAGCCTCTCCTCACAGGGACAATGGAAAGCTTGGCCAAGATGATGGCCCCTCCGATAGCTGTGGCTACCTCCTTGGAGCATTTAACACCAAGACCAACATGACCGTTGTAGTCCCCAGTAGCGACAAAAGCCTTGAACCTGGTCTGCTGGCCAGCCCTTGTCTGTTTCTGTACTGGCATGATCTTTAGAACCTCATCCTTAAGAGATGCCCCCAAGAAAAAGTCAATAATCTCGGATTCCTTAATGGGCAAAGAGAAAAGGTAGATCTCCTCCAGGGACTTGATCTTCATGTCCTTAACCAGGCGGCCCAGCTTGGTGACAGGGACCCACTCCTTGTCTTCAGCTTTACCTCCACGAGCCCCACGGCCTCGACCATGGCCACGGCCTCGACCACGACCAAGGCCCCTGAGGCCGCTGCCGAAGCCTCCGCTGAAGCTGCTGGGGCCTCCTAATCCTGGGCCCCCGGGTCCTCCGGGCCCTCCCGCTTCACCGGCGTCATCTGCAATTTGGTGTTTTCCCGAAGTAGAAGAAGTGCAATACAACTTTCATACTGTAATTATCAAATAATAAAACAAATTCAAATATAAACTAGCATAGAAAATTCTTGTCATAGCATAGTGAAAGTTTCCAAATTTTAGGTAAGACTAGCTGCGACTTTGTGGAAGTATTTATAAAGTCACCCAAAAAATAATTATTTATTTTTAAATGTTGGGAGATACTGGTTGAAAGCACTCTTCAGACAAAAGTGATGGGTTAATCTGTAAGGTCTTTCTCCAGATTTGACTTTTCATTTTACTTCAGATTTATATACAACTAAGCAAGTTACATTTGTTTCTGTTTTTCTCTTTTGTTGAAAATAGATGCTCTTCTTATACAATCTATCTTTATTTGTTTCCCATCTCTCTAGTCCTCCCAGTTCCACCCCACCTTGCCTCCAATAAAGATTCACTCCCATTCTGTCTCTTATTAGAAAATTCCAGGGTTCTAGAAGATAGAAACAAAATATAATAAAACAAAATAAAATAAAACAAAATCATCACGCAGAAGTTGGAAGACATTCTGGGAGATTCAGCAAACCTACCATTTGAAAATATTAATCAAGCATTTGAAGTGTAAAATAAATTCACAAAACAAGACTAATTGAAATCTTGACTTCCAATTATTTTTAGAAGAGGAAATAATTTTCATACAATAATAATTTGTTTGATGGACAACAATTGATCAAAATGAGTATTGTTCTAGACATTCAGTGTCTGTTGTTATGCCTCACTTTTCATTTCTCTACCATTAGTTAATTTAAATAAGTTTTTGCTGATCTTAATTTATTTTTCTCAAAGAACCAATAGAACCAATTCTTTGTTTCATTGATTCTCTGTATTGTTTTCTATGTTTCTAATTTAATTTACATATATATATATATATATATATATATATATATATGATATTGAGTAAAGTTCAAAATAATATCAGTGAGATAGTGGATGCTGAATACACATTTGAGGAAATAGAGAACCTCCACTAACATTTCTAACCATAGAGGAATGAAACACAGAATAGTGCAGAGCATTGCTTGTCCATCCTGATTGCAACTTCATTTTGTGTGTATAATAATATGTAAAGAATCTTGATCTCTGTTTCATTCCTTCATTCCTTCTTTCTTATTCTTCTGTTTTTTGTCTATGCCATATACTTTCTTTAACAAATGATGATTTTTATAACAACATTTTTTATTAAAATATTTTATATATTTTGGTGGTATCCACTCACCTCCAGATTCTGTTCTTTCTCATGCTTGCCTCCTTAGACAAGTCCTCTACCATTTGCTAGAAGCCCTGCTTATATGTTCATACTTCTCTTCTAAAATGTTGAGTTCTCCTCAGATACCTACAGTTTCATATTTTCATGGCATTGATGATGTAAAATTTATTTTTGGGAAGATTGTTCTTTTATAATACAGATAAATTTTGATTTCTTTTTTCAAAGTCCATATTTCAAACATTATGTAGCATTATCAAATAAACCAAAATGCATTTAGTTATCTTAATCAACTATACATTTGTTAAACATGATTTTACATACGAAGCATCCCATGTGTATAGAAAACTGTGTTAAAGTGGAAAAACACTCTTAAGAATTAAGAAAGTGTCCATAAGGAAATCATTCTACTTGATAATGACAGATATGTTGCAATTCAGAGCCATCAATGAAACACAGAACTTCTCACCAGTAAAAGTCTATTCCTGGAAACAAAGAGCTTTAATGACTCAGTTATTCCACTTCTTAAACATTCACTATACTTCAGGGATGCTCTTAAATATCTGATCATCTTTCCTCCACCTCTTGAATGCTAGGGTATAGATTTTGCATACTACAACCAGTATATTAATGCTCTACAACAAACCTCAGACTTCAAGTATATTAAATAAGCTCTATGCCAGATAAATCATTTCCCATTGCTGAAGTTTTTCTTCTTTTAAAAGAGATCATAGTGCCTAACTTAGCAGGTAATTTGAAATTTATATGAGGAAATTAATGGAATATACCAAAGACAAATATAAAAACCAAGAGTGTAAATTGAGACCAGATGAGTGCTATTTAATAATCATTAGTATGTATTTATTATTGGGTTTAGAGCAGTAATTAGACACCTCAGATCATATAGTATAAAAATATTGAAAAATCAGGCTTGATTTCCAAGGAGATCTACAACTAAAGCATACTTAAAACATACTAAACAATGAAATGAAAAAATGAGTAGGACATAACCAAAAAAAGAGTAACTCACAAAGAAAAATGTGTAGCTAACTTCTAAAAAGGGGTTTGAAATCAGATCCCTATACAGAGGAAAGCCACTGGAAGGAATTGACATGGCATTGATACCATGTGTGAATGGAGGATGTTGTCTAGCAAGACTCCTGCTGTGTGCCATAGAAAAGATACAAGGAGAATTCTAAGAGATTCATTTAAGGTCCCTCACAGAAGGGGGAAGGAACAAGTTCTCCAGAGCACAATGGGGGTGGGGGTCAGTAAGTGGAGAGGGAACTAGGTGAAAGAGAAGGGGAGGAGAGGAAAGCACATGGGACTAGGAAGGTTGAGTCCAGGAAAGAATAATAGAGAGAAGAGAGAAAGAGAGAGAGAGAGAGAGAGAGAGAGAGAGAGAGAGAGAGAGAGACCATAAAAGACGGAGTCATTATATGATTGAAGAGAAAATTGAACCTAAAGAAATATCTGGAGACCTACAAGAGTGACCCCAAGTAACAATTTGAGCAACAGTGGAAAGTCTACCTTAAATTCCCTTCGCTGATAATGAGATCAATGACTAACTTATCCACCTGATGGAAACAGAAGCAAAATCCCACAACTAAACACTGAGCCAAACTGGAATCCTGATACATACATGGAGGACAAGACCTGGCTGCAGAAACACACAGAGACAGCTTGCCTTTTATACTTCTAATTAATGCCTCCAGCGTCTATGTAATCTAATTCTTTTATAATTACATTTATTTGTTTCACTGGCTACACAGTACATGTGGTTACCTAAAGTCATCATTCTAATACTACACAGTGGCATATTTACTGTGAATTAGCTTCTTTTCACCTTGGTGTGACAAAATAAGTGAAAGGAAACAACTTAATGAGGAAGGTTTTCTTTGGCTCACACTTTTGAAGGACTCAGCCCATCTTGGATGGCAAGGAAAGTCTGCAGGAATAAAAACCTTTTTATCATATTGCATTCCAGAAGGATGTAGGTAGTGAAAAATTTGGGCCAGGTTATATCACTGAATTATTGGCCCACAGTGACAAATTTCCCCTGGTCAGCTTCTACCTCTTCCACCTCTGCATCCTTTCCAAACAACAATGAGTGTTCAAATGCAAGTATAAACAAGGGAAGTTCATACCAAGATGAAAACTTTTGGTTTTAGAAACACTAAAAATACCAACGTAAATTTTTCCATTAAAAATTTCAATTCCGATGCAAATTTCTGTTGGAATTGTTATTTCTCTTCTTAATCCCAATGATAAAATAAAAATTTTAAAAAAATATGTAAATGAATTTAATCTTTCCAGTATTTAAGTTTGGTAAGAAAGGAATCCACATCTTTTCATTTTCTGTGGAAATGGGTGTTTGCTCCTGTTTCTAACAGGCATTAGTTGAGGGCTCCATGGATAAGTTAGTTATTGATCTCACTCTCCGGGAAGGGCATTTATGGTAGCCTTCCCACGGAAGTTCCAATTGTTAGTTGGCAGCAGTCTTGTAGTTCTCTACACCTTTGTGTTCAATTTTATCTTCAAACCAATATTGGCTCCCTCTTTTATGTTCTCTCTCTCTCAGTCTTTCTCTCTCTATCTTGTCTTCTATTCCCAACCAGGCTCAATCTTCCTAGTCACACATGTTTTCCATTCCTCCCCCTCGTTTTCACCTACTTTGCTCTCAATTCGCTGCCCCCAACAATTCCCCAGAGCTCAGGGGGACTTGTCCCTTCCCAGTTCTGTGAGGGACTTTATATGAATCTCTTAGAATAAAATACACCTTGTATCCTAATTCTTCTGGTGGTGTGAATTATTGGCTGGTAATCCTTTGAACTAGGAGAAAAATCTATTTATGAGTGAGTACATACTGTGTTCTACTTTTTGTGACTGGGTTACCTCATTAAGGATGGTTTTGTCAAGTGCCATCCACTTGACTGAAAATTTCAAGATTTCATTTTTTTTTTCCCCATAGAGTAGTATTCCATTGTGTAGATGTGCCACATCTTCATTAACCATTCTTCAATTGAGGGGCATCTAGGTTGCTTCCAAGTTCTTTCTATTACAAATAGTGCTGCTATGAACATAGTTGAACACATGTCTTTGTTGCATGGATGTATATCCTTTGGGTCTATGCCTAAGAGAGGGATTGTTGGGTCCTGTGGTAAACTAGTTCCCATTTTCCTGAGGAACTGCCATACTGATCTACAAAATGGCTGTATGAGTTTGCACTCCCACCAGCAGTGGAGGAGTGTTCCCCTTTCTCCACATCCTCTCCAACATGAGTCATCATTGGTGTTTCTAATTTTAGCCATTCTGGAAGGAGTAAGATGGTATCTCAAAGTTGTTTTGATTTGCATTTCCCTGATAGCTAAGGATGTGGAACATTTTCTTAAGTGTCTTTCAGCCTTTTTGATTTCCTCTATTGAGAGTTCTTTCTTCAATTCTGTACCCCATTTTTAATAGGGTTGTTTGGTATTTTGTTGACTAGTTTCTTGAGTTAACTGGATTTTTTGGAGATCAACCCTTTGTCGGATATAGGATTGCAGAAAATCTTTTCCCAGTCTGTGGGCTGCCGTTTGGTTTTGTCCACTGTATCCTTTGCCTTACAGAAGCTTATAAGTTTGAAAAGGTCCCATTTATTAATTGTTTCTCTCAGTGTCTGTGCCCCTGGAGTTATATTCGGGAAGTGGTCTCCTATACAAATTTGTTCAAGGGTACCTCCTACTTTCTCTTCTAAGAGGTTCAATGTGGCTGGATTGATGTTGAGGTCTTTGATTCATTTGGACTT